ATCCGATTACTTCGCTCGCAGACCTAGTCGTTCTCATACTCACTCATACTCCGACTCGCTGGCAGAGCAGATTGTGAGGATATCTCAGGCGAGTCGCTGGTTTCAGCACTCCCAAGGCGGAGCCTCCAGGGGTAGGACACGCGCCCGTTCGTGCCCATATTGTGTGGATGTCTCGGGCGGTTTGCTTATTTGGGTGCCCGACACCCTCGGCGTTCAGAGCAGAGTGTGAGGAAATCTCCGGAGAGGCGCTGGCTTCAGCACTCCCAAGGGGGGGAGCCGCCAGGGGGCAGGAGACTCAGGATTCGCGTTCAGATTGTGGGGGTGCCTCGGGCGCGTTGCCTGTTTGGGTGCCCAACATCTTCTGCTCTCGGAGCAGACTGTGAGGATGTCTCAGGCGAGGCGCCTGCTTCAGCGCTCCCAGGGGGGAGCCGCCAGGGGGTAGGGCACCCGCCGGTTCGCGCCCACATTGTGTGGATGCCTCGGGCGGTTTGCTTGTTTGGGTGCCCGGCAACCTCTACTTGCAGAGCAGACTGTGAAGATGTTTCAGGCGAGGCGCTGGTTCAGCATTTCCAGGGAGGAGCCGCCAGGGTATTCCCACGGGCCCCTCCGCGCCCAGATTGTGGGATTGTCCCAGGCGGTTGGCCCGTTCGGGGGCCCACCGTCGGCGCAGATGGTGAGGACGTCTCGAGCGAGGTCCTGGCTTCGGCCTCCCAAGGGGGCACCGCCAGGGTGTTCTCACGGGCCCGTTCGCGCTCAGAGTGTGGGGAGGGTCTCGAGCGGCTTGCGTGTTCGGGTGCCCCACAGTTCCTGATGTCAGAGCAGAGTGTGAGGATGTGTCAAGCGAGGCGCTGGCTTCAGCACCCGGAGGGGGAGCCGCCATGGGGTATTGCACTCCCCCATTCGCGTCCGGATTGTGGGGATATCTCAAGCGGTGTGCCTACGTGGTGGTCAAGGCCTCTCTCGCCTGAGAGAGCCTCATGGCCACCGCGGTATAGCAGTCGCACCGCGTGGGCACCCCAAGGGGGGGGGGCCGCCAGACAGGGGGACACTTGCCGAGGGGGGAGCAGGAGGAGGAGGAGAAGGAGGAGGAGGATGAGGGAGGAGGAGGAGGAGAAGGAGGAGAAGGAGGAGGAGGAGAAGATGAGGACGCAGGTGGAAGGGGAAGGATGGTCGTCAGGGAGGAGGAGGAGTAGGAGGAGGAGGAGCAGGAAGGACGGCTCAGGACGGAGGAGGACGCAGAAGGAGCAGGAGGGAGCTGACTCATTGCTGCCTTCTCTCATCTGCCTTCCCGCTTGCTCCCTCTCAGGCCACTCATACTCAGACTTACACTCATACTCTCTCATGCCGAAGCCCAGTTATTTCGACCATTCGCGCTCGTATACACTTGCACTGAGCTTAGCCATACTCAGACTCAAACAGACGGATCTAGTTACACAAAGACACTCACATTCAGACTTGCTCGCGCCCGTTTTCACCCGCAGTCAGACCTTCATACCCAGCCTACTCATACCCAGACTCTCTCGTACCCAGACGCTCGCAGCGGAGAGTGCCAGGGAGCGAGATGCACGCACGGGGATCCCCGCGTCGAGCAATTATGCTTCGCACCCCCCTCCCCTTCCTCAGATTCATTCACTCGTACACAGACTCACTCACACTCAGACTCGTTCGAAGAAAGGCTCACTCATATTCAAACCCATTCAGGTTCAAACTCACTCACACCTCAGAGTCATTCAGACTCACTTGCAACAATCTGAATTTGCCATACTCAGACTCACTCATACTCATACTCATACTCACTTGGGCCACTGCACATCCCAAGGAGGAGCCGCCAGGGACGGGGACACTCCAGGATTCGCCTTCCAGAGTGGGCGGATGTCTCAGGAATGTTGCCAGTTTGGCTGCACTGCATCTTCTGCTTGCAGAGCAGATTGTGCGAATGTCTCCAGCGAAGCTTTGGTTTTATCACTCGCAAGGAGAAACCGCCAGGGGCGGGGACACGCCAGGATGCGCGCCAAGATTGTGGAGATGTCTCAGGCGCGTTGCCTGTGTGGGTGCCCAACAGACCGTGACGTTGTCTCAAGGGAGGCGCTGGCTTCAGCACTCCCATGGGGGATCCGCCAGGTGCGGGGACACTCCAGGATCCGCTTCCAGATTGTGGGGATGTCTCAGGCGGCGAGCTTGCCTGGGTGTCCAAGAGCTTTTGCCTCCGAGGCAGATTGTGAGGATGTATCAGGCGAGGCGCTGGCTTCAGCACTCGCAAGGAGTGCCGCCAGGGGTGGGGACGCCCAGACTGTGGGGATGTCTTGGGCGGTTTGCTGGTTTGGGTGCCCAACATCCTTTGCTTTCGGAGTAGGTTGTGAGGATGTCTCAGGCGAGGCGCTGGTTTCAGCATTCCCAAGGGGGAGGCCCCAGGGGTGGGGGCATTCACAACCGGACACTTTCAAAGCGTTCGCACTCACACTCAGACCACCCACACTCAAATGCACTGAGACCTCCCACGCTCACACCGACCCTCAGACGATTCGCACGCAGTCACATTCATGCGCATAGACTCACTCACACTCACACTCACTCACATTCATATTCATTCACGCTGTGGCTCTCCTGCCCCATATGATCAGATTCAGACCCATTCATGTTTAGACTCTCTCGCACGCAGACACTCGCAGTGGGAAATGTGCGGGCAAATGTGTGGGGATCTTCGCTTTGAATGGTGCGTTTCTTTCCCAACCGTCATTTGGTGACGCGTCCTCGGTTTGAAGAGACAGCGCGCCGCGTCCCACCTTCTCTTCCTCCTTCTCCACCTTCCCCCGCTTTCCCTCCTACCTCCTCCAATCCGTGCCTCTGCCATCCGCACGTCAACCAGTTCGGCGCACCCCTCGCGCGCTTCGCCACCCTATATAGGGAGCTCCAACCGAGGCCCCAGAGACTGCCCCGATAGGGAGCTCCGCCGAGACTCCAGTGGCCGCGGCCGCATGCGTCCGCGCCATCCACAGCGTTTCGTGGCCCCACAGAGAGCTCCACCGAGGGCCGCAGTGGCCGCGTTCGCATGCGCCCGCACCACCGACAACAGCGCATCGTGGCCCCACTGGGAGCTTCACCGAAGGCTCCAGTGGCCGCGGCCGCATGCGTCCGTATCACCCGCAACAGCACATCGTGACCTCATAGGGAGCTCCACCGAGGGCCCCAGTGGCCGTGTTCGCATGCGCCCGCGCCACTCCGTAGCCCCATCGGGAGCTCCACCAAAGGCTTCAGTGGCCGCGGCCGCATGCGTCTCCCCCACAGAGCACACGCCTTCGTGGCCCCACAGGGAGCTCCACTGAAGGCCCCCGTGGCCGCGTTCGCAGGCGCCCGCGCCACCGACATCAGCGCTCCGTGGCCCCACTGTGAGCTCCGCCCAAGGCCCCGGTGGCCGCGGCCGCATGCGCCCGCGCCACCCACAAAAGCGCTGCGCTGGGGCTCCATCGAAGGCCCCAGCGGCCGCGGCCGCATGTGTCGGAGTGACCCGGTACAGCGTCTCGTGGCCCCCATGGGGAGCTCCACCGAGGCCCCAGTGGCTGCGGCCGCATGCGTCCGCGGCACCCAGTACAACTTTTCGTGGCCCCCTCCGAAGGCCCCAGTGACCGCGGCCGCATGCGTCTTCCCCACTCACGACAGCGCTTTGTGGCCCCATTAAAAACTCAATCCAATAACCGCGGCCACATGCGCCTCCCCCACCCAGTACAGCGTTTCGTGGCCCCCTAGGGAGCTCCACCGAAAGCCCCAGCGGCAGCGGCCGCATGCGTCTCCCCCACCTTGTACAGCGTTTCGTGGCTCCATCGGGAGCTCCACCGAGGGCCGCAGTGGCCGTGGTCGCATGCGCCCGCGCCACCCACAACAGCGCTTCGTGGCCCCACAGGGAGCGCCACAGTGGCCGCGGCCGCATGCGTCTCTTCCACAAGTTGCAGCACATCCCTCACGCGCTCCGTGACCCAATAGGGAGCTCCACCGAAAAAGCGGTACCCACAACGTGGCACTCACAACTGCAGATGGTTGGGCCCTTCGCCAGGATACTTTTATTTTGTGTTCGTTGACTCGGTCTCTGGAGGCCTACAGACTTCCCTGGAGGCCACCAGAGGCTTCGGGAGCGACAAGAAGAGCCGAAGACGTCCAAGAAATTCGGTTCTCGATCCTCGGACCTTCGATCGTCGAACCCTCGATCCTGGGGCCCTGAGCCCTATGCTCTGAGGGGCCGGGAGGCCTCCAGAAACAGGGCCAGAGACGCCCAAGAGCCTCCAGCCCCGAACCGGGCAAGCCTCTCCAGACCGTGCACCTCTCGCCAGACCGTGGCATGCATTCTGCTCGCGGGCCCCAGTGTCCAACACAGCAGGTTGGGCAGCGGGGGCCTCACGAGCACGGGCGTCCAACAGGAGAGGCCGAGCAGGGTGTCGGCCGCCGCTCCGGCGCCCCCAGGACAGAGCGATGCACCCCTCGCTGTCCTGGCCGAAGCTCTGCGATCCCCCCGAAGGTATCGAAGTTGCACCCAACAATTGGAAAGATACTGTTCAGAGCGTGAATTACCTACCCCGCTTTCGCTTCCAGGCAACACCAAGTCATGCCACGCGCCTCCTCGTCAAGCGGCCTGACCAGTACAGGTCGTAGTTTGGCATCGCTTGGTATCTCTTGGAAGCGAGGGTGGTCCAAAGCGAGGTAGGTTTGTTTGCTCCCTAATTGTTGCAGACCCTGCAGCAGGGCCGGAGTCGGAAGCTGCACTCTGCCTGAACGGCGACCGAGCGCCGCGGCGCTGACCACCCGGCCTTCTGGGGCCGAGCCTTGCTCGACGTGGTGTCCGTCCGTCCGTCCGTCCCCCGTGGCCCTAAGTCGGGCCTGTCCCTCTGCAGGAGGAACATTCAAAAAGAGTCAAAGAATAATCGGGGGATTATGCTTTGAGTATTCTTGAACATTCCTGACATGTTTTTGGGGACTATTTCTTCTAATGTTTCGCCCACCCTGGCCCTCAGGTTCCAGGCGATCAAGTCGAGGCACCAGGCGAACAACGCATGCTTCGACTGCGGCGGGCCCAATCCCGAGTGGGCCAGCGCCTCCTTCGGCATCTTCGTGTGCATCGGAGGGCTGGGACCGCCGCAGGGGAAGCTCCTTCGGCATCGTCGAGCCAACACTGCCATGCCCTCTGTGTGCTTGCTCTCTTCGGCACGCCCCGAATTTCTTGCCAGGAAGACTCGGCGGGCGCAGCATCCCCTGAGATCCGACGTTGGGGCCACGATGGGCGCGAACGAGGGGGGTGCACGAACACAAAGGACATACACACATGTATGTATGCATGCATGCCTGTCTGTCTGTCTGTCTGTCTGTATGTATGTATGTATGTACGTATGTATGCATGTATGTATGTATGTATGTATTTACGTATGAGTGTATGTGTGTATGTGTGTATGTGTGTATGTATGCATGTATGTATGCATGCATGTATGCATGCATGGATGCATGCATGCATGCATGCATGCATGTATGGTCTGTCTGTCTGTCTGTCTGTATGCATGCATGTGTGTATGTGTGTATGCATGTACGTATGTGTATGTATGTATGTATGTATGTATGTATGTATGTATGTATGTATGTATGTGTGTATGTATGTATGTATGTATGTATGTATGGGTGCCTGTATGTATGTATGTGTGTATGTATGTATGTATGTAATGTAATGGAATGGAATGGAATGTAATGGAATGGAATGTAATGTAATGTTATGTTATGTATGTATGTATGTGTATATGTATGTATGTATGTGTATGTGTGTATGTATGTATGTATGTATGTATGTATGTAAGTAAGTATGTATGTATGTATGTATGCATGTATGTATGTATGTATGTATGTATGTATGTATATATATATGTATGTATGTATGCATGTATGTGTGTATGTCTATGTATGTCTGTCTGTCTGTCTGTATGTATGTATGTGTGTATGTATGTATGTATGCATGCATGTCTTTCTGTCTGTCTGTCTGTCTGTCTGTCTGTCTGTCTGTCTGTCTGTGTGTCTGTCTGTCTGTCTGTCTGTCTGTCTGTCTGTCTGTCTGTATGTATGTATGTATGTATGTATGTATGTATGTATGTATGTACGTATCTATGTATGTATATATGTCTGTGTGTATGTATACATACTATATAACTGTATGTTTCCGGTGTATATATAGGGGGCCGCGAAGGGCAGCGACGGGGCCACGAAGGGGTGCAAAAACGCTGCAAAAACATGGAAAAATTACGCCCAGAGCCCTGGACCCCGTCTTTCCGCGCCACTTCTCGAGCCGGATCGGTCTGCGAGGGCGCAGGGGCCCGACAAGGGGCGCAAACGCCCGGTGCGAAAAAGTTGCAGCGCCAGGACCTCGGCGGCGACGATAGGGGCGAATAGCCCGGGGGCGGGCATTACACGCACATTCGCCCGGGAGCCTTTTCGAAGACATAAATCATCGGCGCACCTGAATACATGTAGTGCTCTCCCCTGGGCTATTCGCCCCTATCGTCCCCTCCGAGGATCCCCACGGACCCCCGACGTCGTGATTTTTTCGCAGCGTCGACCCCCAAAGGTCTGGACTCCTTCCTCGGGACCGGCTTCTCATCCCGAGGCGTTTTTGTTGACAGTCCCGCGGCCCGGTGAGGGCCCCGAGAGGCCGAATAAATCTATATATATAGAGAGAGAGAGAGAGAGAGAGAGAGAGGGAGAGAGAGAGATCAAAACTCCTTGGCACAGTTCTTTCCATGACCCGAGGGGGTCTGGGGTCTTCGGAGAGCGCGGACCCGAGAGTTCGAGGACGAAGCTGGCAGGACCAGGCCGCTCCGGCCATCGCGCCAGCCGCGTTGCCAGGTGGCGTCCTGACGTCTGCCTCGGGCGCCATGGGGCCTGCGCGAGGCTCCAAGGGAGAGGCCCCCTGACTCCTTTCACGAGGTGCTTCCGCCAGCCCGAGGTGTCCAAGCCTGAAGGTGATTCACTGAGGAGGAGGAGGAGGAGGAGGAGGAGGAGGAGGAGGAGGAGGAGGAGGAGGAGGAGGAGGAGGAGGAGGAGGAGGCGGACTGACAAAGTTTTGCTCCAACAGGGTCTGAAATAGCCCCGAGGCGCCTCAGGATGACCTCCAGCGGAGCTCAAAACGGCCCAAGATAGCCCCATGGTTGCCCAGGACGGCGAAAGGACAGTCCAAGAGAGCACTCAAAAGGCTGGAATACGCCCAGAGATGGCTCCAGAGAGTCAACTAAGCCCCCAAAACAGCGAAGACAGCCCATGATGCCCCAAGCTTGCCTCCACTGCGCTCTCGCACTTTTGGCAGCATTCGCATGCCTCTGATCAACTGTACCGCCGGACCCGTGCCAGGTTAGCTGTGTGAAATTCACCCGCTGGATACTCAAAGTAAGTAATTTGTGCATGTTGATTCCCTCTCCTATGTTTTTACGATCTGGGGGGGTGGGACCCCCCCAAAGGTACCCTCCGAATCCGCGGCCCCCAGGGCCCCTGAACGATCCTGCAGAAGGTCCCCCAGCGGGCTTTCCGGGGCTCCTGAAAGCTGCTGAATAGCGCCGGACAGCTTCGCGAGAGCCCTAAGAGGCCCCAGACACCCACCAGATGCCCGAAGACGACCCAAAGAACACCCAAAGAGGCATTCGAAGTGCAACAAGAACATTGATTTTTCATTGGTTTTCTAAGGTTGTGTAGGATTTGGGAAAGCTCTGTTCTTTGGTGTTCCGGACGTCCGAGATCGCCCAGGGGAGGCACGGTGGTCGGTGTTGGGGGAGCCATGGGCCATCGTGGACCATCTTGGAGGTATCTCTGGTCCATTAGAGGCCTCTGGAGGCCCGTCTCAAGTTATCATGGCCTCCTTTCTCTAGGCGTCGAAAGGCCACTGAAGGTCGGGAAAGAAGGAATTACCCTGTGACGTACCCAACCCATTTGTATCATGGGAAACGGGGAGTTGGCCGAAACTTGCATGGACAATCAAATTGCAGGATCCGTTGTTTGATATGTAAGCTGCTTGGGACACGCGCCTATGGCATGATGCGCAGGAGAACCATACAAGAACGAGGGGCGACAACTACAGGCTCGAAGAGGACATGGGGAGTCGGGAACGAAGAGCAGGAGAAAGACGTGCGGGAAGCCCACTGTGCTGTGCCCCTCAGCAGCCCTCGAAAGTGGCGACAGTTTCACAGATCGCAGCCCCCCAGGGACGGCGAGGTCATATTTGAGCCTGCGGTGAGTACACTGTACTGTGCCCCTCAGCAGCCCTCGAAAGTGGCGACAGTCTCGCATTTCGCAGCCCCCCAGGGATGGCAAGGTCTAATCTGAGTTTGCGGTAAATACCCACTGTGCTGGGCCCCTCAGCGGCCATCGCAAGTGGCGACAGTTTCACAGATCGCAGCCCCCCAGGGATGGCAATGTCTAATCTGAGTCTGCGGTGAGTACCCACTGTGCTGTGCCCCTCAGCAGCCCTCGAAAGTGGCGACAGTTTCACAGATCGCAGCCCCCCAGGGATGGCAAGGTCTAGTCTGAGTCTGCGGTGGGTGCCCATTGTGCTGTGCCCCTCAGCAGCCCTCGAAAGTGGCGACAGTCTCGCAGATCGCAGCCCCCCAAGGATGGCGAGGTCTAATCTGAGTCTGCGGTGAGTACCCACTGTGCTGTGCCCCTCAGCAGCCCTCGAAAATGGCGACAGTTTCACAGATCGCAGCCCCCCAGGGATGGCGAGGTCTAATCTGAGTCTGCGGTGAATACCCACTGTGCTGTGCCCCTCAGCTGCCCTCGAAAGTGTCGACAGTTTCGCAGATCGCAGCCCCCCAGGGATGGCGAGGTCTAATTTGAGTCTGCGGTGGGTACCCACTGCGCTGTGCCCTTCAGCAGCCCTCGCAAGTGGCGACAGCAGCCCCCCAGGGATGGCGAGGTCTAATCTGCGTCTGCGGTGGGTACCCACTGCGCTGTGCCGCTCAGCAGCCCTCGAAAGTGGCGACAGTCTCGCAGATCGCAGCCCCCCAGGGACGGCGAGGTCCCGCTCAGGTCCGCGCGGTGCTTCGCTCTGCAGGACCCACTAGCAGCCCTCGAAAGTGGCGACAGTTTCGCAGATCGCAGCCCCCCAGGGGCGGCGAGGTCCCGCTCAGGTCCGCGCGGTGCTTCACCCCGCAGGACCCACCAGCAGCCCTTGAAAGTGGCGACAGTTTCGCAGATCGCACCCCCCCCCAGGGACGGCGAGGTCCCGCTCAGGTCCGCGCGGCGCTTCACTCCGCAGGACCCACCAGCAGCCCCCGAAAGTGGCGGCACTTTCGCAGATCGCAGCCCCCCAAAGACGGCGAGAACTCGTTTGGGTCCGCGGTGGGTACCCTCTCTGCTGGGCTCCCCAGCAACCCTCGAAAGTGGCGACAGTTTCGCAGATCGCAGCCCCCCAGCGACGGCGAGGTCGCGTTTGGGTCCGCGGTGAGTGCCCTCTCCGCTGGCCTCCCCAGCAGCCCTCGAAAGTGGCGACAGTTTCGCAGATCGCAGCCCCCCAGCGACGGCGAGGTCCCGTTTGGGTCCGCAGTGAGTGCCCTCTCCGCTGGCTTCCCCAGCAGCCCTCGAAAGCGGCGACAGTTTTCGCAGATCGCAGCCCTCCAGCGACGGCGAGGTCCGCTGGCCCCCCCAGCAGCCCTCGAAAGTGTCGACAGTTTCGCAGATCGCAGCCCCCCAGGGACGGCGAGGTCCCGTTTGGGTCCGCAGTGAGTGCCCTCTCCGCTGGCCTCCCCAGCAGCCCTCGAAAGTGGCGATAGTTTCGCATATCGCAGCCCCCCAGGGACGGCGAGGTCCCGTTTGGGTCCGCAGTGAGTGCCCTCTCTGCTGGTCTCCTCTCCCCAGCAGCCCTCGAACGTGGCGACAGTTTCGCAGATCGCAGCCCCCCAGGGACGGCGAGGTCCCGTTTGGGACCGCGGTGAGTACCCTCTCCGCTGGCCTCCCCAGCAGCCCTCGAAAGTGGCGACAGTTTCGCAGATCGCAGCCCCCCAGGGACGGCGAGGTCCCGTTTGGGTCCGCGGTGAGTGCCCTTTCCGCTGGCCTCCCCAGCAGCCCTCGAAAGTGGCGACAGTTTCGCAGATCGCAGCCCCCCAGGGACGGCGAGGTCCCGTTTGGGTCCGCGGTGAGTGCCCTCTCCGCTGGCCTCCCCAGCAGCTCTCGAAACTGGCGAAAGTTTCGCAGATCGCAGCCCCCCAGGGATGGCGAGGTCAAAGGCAGGGGGGAAGAGAGGGACGGGAAGGAAGGAAGGTTTGCGCGAGCAGTGCTCTATTCAAAACGAGAACCCAACGCAGGAGGTTTAGGAAATAGACGAAAATCTGGCAACATTGATCAACTCAATGTTCGCATTGTCTTGCCGTGGAACAAGGGTCCCCAGTTTCTCCCTGCCACACAGCTCGCCCCAGCTATGTGAGCCCCGATCTTCTTCTGCTCGTCCTGCCTCCCCCGGCTGTTCCTCTCCACGCTTCAGCCATTGCTGGCATCATGGGGCTACTGCTGCTTTTGCTGCTGCCAGCGCAGTCGTCTGACCCCCGCACACGGCATCGAGCATCTGGCGCCTTACTAGGGAGCCCCAGCTCTGGCCCCAGTGGGCAGGTCCGCTTGCTGCCGCCGCATCCTGGCTCGGCCCATTCCCGAGACATCCGTTGTTAATGTTCCACTATTCGCATGCGGGCACCGCGCCCGCCCTGGCCCTCCCCTCATACGTTTCACACCCCAAGGGAGGCCTTAACTGTTATTGCGGCCCCATCGGGCAGGTTTGCATGCGGCTGCCGCGTCCGGTATGGCCCACGCCTCACCCCAAAGGGAACCCCACTTACGCCCCCAGCGGGTTGGTCCGCACGCGCCCGCTACAGCCCCAGCGGGCGGTTTCGCACACTCTCCGTTTGGCCCAATTGTGGCTCCAGTGGGAGATCTCGCACGCTGCCACCGCATTGAGTTTGAGCTAAAGCCTCAGAGGACAGGTTCGCACGTGCTTGCCACATCAGTTCTGGCCCACCCGTCACAGCCTAACTATTTGACATGCGGCCGCCGCCCACCCTTGAAATGCTTCGTGCCCCGAAAGATGGCCTGACTACGTGCCGAGGCAAAAGCGCGGGAGGGTTCGCATGCGTCCAAGACGGACGCACACTTCTCACACATCGTGCCCCAGGGGGGGCTGAAATTACGGTCCCAGTGGTGGCTCACAAGTGCTAAAGTTAGCGTTCCAGCTCGCTCGCGTCCGCCGCATCCAGTCTGGCCTACCCTTCACGCGTTTCGCGTCCCATGGGGAGTCTTGGCCAGCCCATCTGTGCGACTGTCGTATCCCGCGTTGGTCCGCCCCTCGGAAATTCTGCCCGCGACCATCTACGAGACTAGCGTGCGTGTTCTCACGCGGCCACTGCATCCGTTACAGACCACCCCCCCAGCTACGGCCACAGATGACGGACTTGCGTATGTCCGCCGCACTCGTTCTGGTCGACCCATCACGCGTTTCGGATCCAGAGCTCCGGCTACAGACTCAGCGGGTGGGTTCGCACGTGGCCGCCGCATCGCTCTGGCACCAGCAGGCGGACTCGAAAAGGGAGACACACACTGTGAGTTACAATTGCAATGTGTTGTCCGCCAGGCTCGCGTGGACCCGTTGGGCATATGCAGTTGTCTCGACCTCAATATCTATGTACCGTGAATTTCTTACAAGTCTTTCGTTATTCTTTGTGGCAGATCGGGACTTTCCTGAGGCTTTCCCGAGGCGGTTTCGGACGCCAGATCTGACCCAAGCTGGACCCAAAGTCGATTCCCTGACAGAAGCGATCTCGATCCTAAGCGTGTTTGGGCCACCGTTTTGTAGATGTCTTGGCTTTGCTGTCGAGCCGTCCCGTCACCGCAGGTGGAGGTTGTTTTCCCCTCGCCAGTCAAGCCCCAAGCCTCAGATGCTCATGTTCTCGCAGCACCGCCGTGCAGCAGCAGAGACACCCAGATTGTACGAGGTACTCGGCCAGAGCTGTTTGACCCCGCTCCGCGATATCGCGCTCGACGGCGGCGACCACATGAAATGAGTCGTTCTTGCCCCAACGCATGCACCGCAGCATGACCGCATGCACCGCCCTATTCGAGCCCATGCCTGCGGGAGGCTGCAGCGGTCACCACCGCCGACTTGGAACGCACATATCACGCATCCGCAGCTGCGTGATGGATTCCTGGACCGACCAGGCGCCAAAGCGATACAGGAGGGAATGAAAGAGAGAGAGAGAGAGAGAGACACACACATACGGTAAAGACTAGGAAAGATAGCCAGGGGAGGCGAAGGCGAAAGGATGCGAATGGGAGAGAGGGAGAAGATGGGGAATGCGGGCCGGATGCGAAGCATCAGTTGCTATCGGTGTTGACGATCTGGTGGAAAGAGAGTGGCTCTGAAGATTTGCGCCATCCCGCCAATTCCGAAAAGGGCAAAAAGGGGAAACGGAGGAAGGAGCAAGCGTGGGAGCAGGAGAGGAGGAGGAGGAGGAGGAGGAGGAGGA